ATCCTTGAATAGTTGCCAATCCACGCCTTGAATACGTGGATCATGCTTCGCAAGTCGATCTGCCGTTGTTTTAAGGTGAATTGGTCCCAGCTACAGTTAGGCAGCGTTCAGACTTCGCGACGGCAGCGCTTCGGTCGCGCGTTCGACGCGATCGATGCGCATGCTTTCGACTGCATCGATCGCGTCGAACGCGCGACCGAAGCGCTGCCGTCGCGAAGTCTGAACGCTGCCTTACGTGCCACTTTCTCTAGTCAAAAGGTCGCGAGAACGGAGCTGCAGGACAGACGGGTGCCGGTTACGTAACAACTAATAATTTTTGTGGGGGTTCTGCAGCAAACGGCCAGAGCGTAGAGAAATAAAGAAATGCGGCGTTGAACGCATCAAGAGTGACAAAACATGTCGTGAGACAGAACATCATTTCGAAGGGAGAAGACACAGAGGTGGATCAGTCACTTATTTTGCGTGACAAGTTGGAAATCAAAAGGTCAGAAAGGTCGCAGAACGCCCCGCAGATGTGAGAGCGCTTAGAAAAACAGGAAGTTGACGTCATCGTAAGGATAGAGTTCAATTTGTCAGGTAGACCAGGGGTGCCATCTGATACTCTGCCCGCGGTGCAGCATGGCCAGTCACATGCCTAATCATGGCCAAATGCTCTACTTGCGCCCTTTCACTCCTGATTTATCTCTTCCTTTGACTGCATGTGCAGTGCGAAGCGCTGCGGCTTGAGTAAAATGCGCCACGGGATCGCATGTAACGACAGCACGGATTGCTGTAAACGCCACATGGGCAGAACGGCTCTACAGCCCTATTCCCGTGAACTTTTGAGCGGAAAAGTGACACACCACAGCAGCTGCCGCCTATGTTCTTCGCACACATCAAGGACCGTCCCCAGACGAGAGGAACTCCGTCCTTAACCGGCACTTATCTATCGCCACCGCGAATTTCCTAATTTTACAACGGTTGGCATGTCAAAGCGGCTTACGAGAGCGTGTTTCATTTTGCAGCTTTACAAGGGTTCAGGGGTCTTCCGGATGAGCAGAATTGTCCGAGTAGTGTCATCGTACGCTTTCCTAGCTAGTTGACGCGAGAGACTCGCCGCAGCGCTGCTACAGTCGTCATCCGGGGACTTGATTAGGGCGGCAAGGGTCGCGACGCGGCTGCGGCGTGTCACGAGCGCGGCGATCAGCTGTTTCCAGCCTATTTTAGCCATTTTCTCCCTAATTTCACTGCATCTTCTGTTTTTTTCAAGGTTAGTTGTAGAATTAGGGAGAAAGATCCCAAAATAGGCTGGAAACAGATGATCGCCGCGCTCGTGACACGCCGCAGCCGCGTCGCAACCCTTGCCGCCCTAATCAAGTCCTGGATGATGACTGTACGATAAGTGGACTGCGTCCTGGGGCCGCATGCTATACTTCTCGAAGGGAAGATTTCCACCAGTAAATCTCCGCTCTGCTCTTATCTCCTAGCTGTTATTGTTTGATAACTGCTGTTTAACGCCGCAGTGCGCGATCCGAAAGCTATCACAAGAATGCTGAGTTATGGGCAAAAGTCGGACCACGGACGGGATTCGAACCCGCATCTTCTGCTTACCGGGCAGTTGCGTTCCCTATTACGCTACCGGGGCCACTTTTGTCCTAAATAGCCATTGAGCTGAGAGGTCAAAGGTGGCCCCGGTAGCGTAATAGGGAACAACTGCCCGGTAAGCAGAAGATGCGGGTTCGAATCCCGTCCGTGGTCCGACGTTTGCCCACAACTCAGCACTCTTATGATAGCTGTTATATCCATCAATGCCTCCGTCTATCTATTTCTGCCTCTCTGCTCCTACGTCTCCCCCACTCTCGCGAAATCTACCTCAACGACATACGCTGGGGGAGAGGGGAGCATATCGATTATACTCTGCGCTGCACTATATCCGCACGGAGCATGCGCCAAAAGATTATGGATGCAGAGTGGTGAGAGCCAGAGAGACGAGGGGCATTACTAGAGAGAACGGCAGAGAGCGAAGGTTTATAAGGGGTTATCTCCCCTATGGGAAATATAGCATACGGCCACTGGTGGGAACGCTGTGTGCAAGACCACTCTAGCATGGCTGCGTATCATCATACTTTGTATGTCATTGCGCTCGCCGTGAATAGGAAGCAGTGTCATACATCTCGAATCGCAAATATGATAAAAAACGATGGAACTGGCCAAATGCCCCTCCCCTGCCCCCCTTAAGTCGAACAGCATCCACTCCGCTATGAGCGCCTCCTAATAATTGAACGTGAATATCAATAAAGGAGTAATGTACATTTTCCGTAGTTGTTGCATTAATCTCTCCGAACCGAACCGGGTTCTCTGGTGAGCACTGATCCGTTGCGGATCCAACATATGCCACACAGTAATCCACCTAAAATATTTTGCACCTATCTCTTTATTTGACGAGTGTGCAGTCTTTTTCGCTGCGGATGGTGGGAGCGTGCCAGCGGACTGGGTTTGGCAAGGCGCCAACACGTCCTCAATCACCTATGGATGCGAGTCAGGGAAAACAATTGCTGGATAACACGATGGAGTCGCGCCAATCCCAGCCACTCTGACACGCGCAGCATACCCATTGAAAGAGACTGCAAGGTAGGACAAGTTCGCCGCTTCATGGGGACAGCCCATCACAGAAACCAATAGTTTCTGCTTGGGGGGTGGGGCGTTCTCCAACGAGACTGGTCCGTGTCATGTTTGCTCGCCATTCCTGCTCATCAAGATAGCATGACGTGAATAAGCCTCGCTGGATAGTGAACCTCCCCTCGAGGAAGATTGCGCCGAAACCCATTAGCTTATCAAAGTTTTGCCTGGGCCGATGAGTTCAAGCCATTCGACCGATTCATGGTTCGAACTCATCGGCCACTAGTTGCAAAGTTCTTGCTCACCGAAGGAAGACTAGAAGATTTCCTGTCTTGAGTCGTGATGCAGATTAAGGCTTTCACCTTCACAAACGATGACAAAACCAAAAATAACAGAACCGTTTCCAACCAGAATGCCATCACTGGAACTCCGAAATTACCACATGGGGGTTCGGCTTTTATAGTTTGAGGGGGGGGGGCACGCGATGGCGAAGCTAAGCCGTTCGCCAGCACCTTACAGCAGTAAGGCTGCGTTTATACTTTGCGGCAGCGTAGCGTAGCGCTTCCAGCGTACGCCAGCGGCAGTGTCGGGGAAAGGATAGGTATCGATCTAGCGTTCCCAGCGTCACCAGCGTAGCGAGGGCACGGGATGTATATCGATCTAGCGCTCCCAGCGTTTCACTAGCGTTTCGCTAGCGCTTGCAGCGACGGGGCTAGAGAGGGCTAGAGAGTATAGAAGAGTAGGAGAGTACAAAATACTCTCCTACTCTTCGATACTCTCTAGCGTAGGAGAGCATTTTGTACTCTCCTACTCTTCTATACTCTCTAGCGTAGGAGAGTATTCTGTACTAATAACCTAAACCTCTTTTATATCATCTAGCGTAGGAAGATCTTGTACTCTCTAGCTCCTCTATACTTCGCTAGCCCCCGGCCGCGCCAGTGAACGGCTAGGCAAACGGCTGAGTGAAACGCTGGCAACGCGTACGCTAGCTCGTCGCAAAGTATGTAAAATCGCAGCTGAATATTTCTCGCTCAGCCGCTGGCGAGATCGCAGACGAGCAGAAGTGAGTCATCAACCTATTCCAATACGCTCGCTCCCAAGTAAAGCGTCCCCCATGTGAAAAATGCTCTAATGAGACATGACGAGCATTAAAGACGCGAATCGCAACCGCGTGACACCCTCCCAAACGACGTAAAATCTTGAAAAATACCTTGCTCTCTGGCCGTCACGCTCCTACGCGGACTGATCCTGCCCTCAGTGCTGGAGCTGCTCTGGAAATGTCGACTGGTGCTTGCTGTCATTGTTTAACCGTTCCAATGCGCTCGTAAGAAGAGACGGCAAGCGGACCGCTGATCCTCACGTAACCATCAGCGAAGTTAAGGTGTGAACTTCACGCATCCGGCCGACTGCAACGGAAGCTCTGAATGGTAATTGCACCGTAACTAACTTCTAAGTCGATATCAAGATTGTTTTCATGTCGATAGAGAAACGGCTGAATAGAAACTGGTCACAACGAAATAAACTTTTGAATGGATACATCTCTCCTAAATGTGAATTGATGAAGCATACTACAGGTTTAGCTTTTCTGCGGTGACGGCTGGCATGGTCAGGAGCTAGGTTGGCGGGGCTCAGCCAAAATCTATCCGATGCTGAGAGAGAGAAAGCGACTAAATGAGGTGAAGAGGTAAGGCGCCGACCCAAATCCATCCCTTATCACGCGCCCCAACATCAGCAGTGAAGAAACTGCGCGTCATTCGGGATGTTAGTGAAACGGACCAGTTTGATGAGATTTCGGGACATCCTGACGCAGTGTGTAGTCATTCATACTTAGCGACGGTGAATCGGGGAATCGGCTCTTTGGGAGGAAGAGCGTCGATGGTTGTTTGGGAGGAAGCGCGCGAAAGGATAGCTGGCTATTGATCGGCGTCGGCCGGTAGACTCTTGCGCCTGTTTGGGGGTGAAGGGTATGTGGCAAGAGAATCGTGATTCGCCGCGCCAGCGTGCGACTTCGCGCCCGGACAATTTAGGATGCTATTGGTCGAGAATAGACGAATGTATGACCAAAAATAGACATAAGTGTCCACCATGTCCTTGTCTACATGAAATCCGATGCTCCAATCGAAAGGGTAGTGCAAATTAAGGAAACGTCGCGCCCATTATGGCCCGAAGTGGCAGCTTACGATTCTGTTGCACGTCTCCCGCGGTGGAGGGGGGATGGAGCAGGAATGTTCGAGTGGCGCAAAATGACCATTTTATCATACTAGGACTCCTTTCTATCTTTTGCAAGTGTTGGCATACCATTTTGAAAGAGCAGAGTTTATTAGTTGCTCAAACGCGCAGCCACAAAACCACATTTATTGATTCACAAACGGAAAAATAGATCGGATCTCATAAAGCGTCCGGACCGTAGCTGTCGTATGACCTGGTTTCTCGAGCGTCCAGTCGTCCAAGACCGTTGTTAAGACGGCCACCGAAGTACCAACGCGGTCGAACAACTATAAAGCACTTTAATAAGACCCTATGATCATGGTTAGGTGAAGCTGGCATTACAAGTGGATAACTTTAGCACTCACATCCCCATCCAAAGTCGCTTCCGGCTACGTAAACGGTGAAGATCACGAGGAGAAGTAGTACAGTAATCCGGAACATTGCCTCTGTCTGAAATTTATTTGTTTATTCACAATGCCTCCGTGAGACATACTAAACCAAGCAGGCAACGCCCACAGCGCTGTTATAAGGAAAGGAAAGGATGATGTCAATGAAATGAAAAGAAAAAAGGATGAAGCAAAAAGGAAGAAGCGAAAGGATGGAGGAAAAAGGTTAGCAAGTTCAACTTCTTTAAATAATGAGGAAGTGCTAAGCAATTCAACTTTCAGAAAAGGAGATAAAAAAGTTTGAAAAGCTTGAATACCACTTCTGTCGGTTCTTGCTGGCTGTGCGAGAACAGGGTGATGAGAAGAGAAGTAGACGTCGCCATGGTAAGACAATTCACAAATGATTGAAACCGCTATATAACAATGGTAAAACGAATTGACAAAGGACGAAGGGTAAGCATGGAGGCGGTGAGCTCACACCGCGTGTAAGGCGTAGCGTTCTTATCTCACTGGGTATACGGAGGACTATACATGACGGGAAATATTCGAATAGGCCTGCCATTAAGAATTCAAGGGACCTGAACGAGGATTAAAACCCAGTGGAAATGGGCAACATGCCCCGCTACACTATTTTTGCTGGGATTGCGAAATTACAGTGTGTTTAGGAATGTTGGAGAAGAACGAGACAAAGCCCTTAAGTAGCCTAGCTTCATCAAGAAAACAAGGCTATTCAGCTCAGAAGAACTCTTAGGCAAGGTCAAGTAACGCTGCTCCACGACAGCGCGACCTCACCCTGCGAAGAACGTCAGGGGCGCTCACGAGGAACTCAACTTAAAGGTTCTAAAGCATACACCAGACTTTACGGACCCTACGCCCGCACATGAAAACCTTTTTCCGCTCATTGTGAAACGGAATAAGGGTGTTATCTTCAATAATGAAGAGGAAGAGGACCTCAAAAAGTGGCTCAGCATCCTTTTGAATTCAATACAGGAAAAATATGAGGAAATTTGAGAGGAAAGAGCAAGTCGCGGACGACACATAGTTGATTAATTCATTGTCGTAGGCAATGTGAAATATTAAGGCTTACAATAACGAGAAAAATTGCGGATATTATTTCCCATTTCCAATGTTAGGAAATAAGTTCCCTAAGCGTGAGGGAAGTTATTCTCTAACACTTCCCAGTTTTCAGCTTTTTTTTCAAGGAATTAATGCAAGAGAGCAATTACAAGTCTTTTTCTGAAGTATGTATGTAGTATAGGCTCAGAATGTAGCTCCTCCCTGAGGAAATATTTCTTTTCGCAGAACGAACAGCGGGCAGATGCTGGGGCTTCTTCTATAGGAACCTACCCCAGCCGTTGAAGTTTCAGAGGTTTTCTCCTCTCGTACACGGCTAATGCGGTTTGTTAAGGGGTGGTAGAGGGGTGGTATACTTGGTTACATACAAATGATAACATAGCTAAAATTTTCTCCCTATTGCCCTGCCCAGCCTCACTTTCCACTCTCTGAAGGACTCTCCAGCAGGGTGGATGAGTGGAACAGTCAAAAATCGCAAGAAGATGTAGGCCCTTCCTCCGAGCCAAAAATGGGCCAATCTTCCAAACTCTCTATTCATTCTTGAAATTCGAATGCCTGCTGTTGTAGACCTCTGTCATTAAGGCACGTAGGATCTCCGTGCTCATCCTATCTGCTAAAATGCTGCCCTCCATGGGATTGGGCCCAGACGAAGTGAGCTCGGCCATGCCTAGCCAACATTAATCACGCAGAAGTGTAAAATGATAAAGGGGAGGGCACCAGTGAGGAATACGCAGTGGTTGTAAGTGTCCGCCCACCCGCTTATCACGGAATGAGTCCTCGAATGCCACAGGAAGGTACGCAGCTTCCACAAATAAAATTGGAATTTCTGAGAAGTGTTGTGAAGAGGAAGATATGAGAAAAGTAAAAAGCTCCAACAAGTCGGATAAGCCTTCGCCCATACAGCTGTTGCGAAACGTATCCTGCAGAACCACTGGTGAGTCTGGAGCGCAATAAAACGCCTTACTGAGCACCTGCTAGAAAAGGGCAGACATTTCATTCCACGTGCAAGCACTTCGCAGCAAAGGAAGATTCGGGTGTGATTGGTTGACGAATGGCACAAATGACATATGTGAGCTTCGAATTTACCCCATGTAAGGAGGTTAATCACCCAACGAAAGGGCAAATAATAGGGAGGTGCGAAATTGGATTTACGAGGAGCTGAAAACCAATGAAGATCAAATGGTGCGAAATGCTCTTACTGACCTCTGAATGTATGCAGATAAACGCTCACACTTCAGGTTGTTAAGCTAGTAGTGAAGCGTTTGTTTATTATTTTTCTTACTATTGTTTGTGCCACCTCCAACTGCGTCCCCTGATTCCACTACCCCCAAGCCCCGTTCCCGTGCACTTTTAGACGGAAAAAGTGGCACGCTACTGCAGCTGCGTACCCATTAACCACGTACATGAAAAGGGCCATCCTAGGAGGTGAATATAGAGTTCGTCCTTGAGGAAGCAGAGATGGTCGGAGTGTCATGACGACTGTCTTCCTCATAGGTGCGCCCACTCTAAGACTTGTAAATGAGGGCGCTTCAATGAGGAAGTTATCACGAAATGTGTCTTCAAATAAGCCATAAAGGAAGGTGTGCCGATTGTACAAATAAATATGAAGGAAATTAGATTCCTGAGAAGCCTTAGGATCCAGGAAATGAGAGAAATAAGTCCTGGAAAATAAGTCGGATGAATCTCTTTCCCATATTCGCAGAATATCTGCCTGAATAAGATGTCAAAAAGGTTGCTGATTACGAAGCAAAATCGAGCTGTTTGCTCAAAGAAAATTTTACAGCTCAAACGATAGTCTGTGAACGGACGTGGACGGCGTTCGGGGAATAAGCTTGGTGAGAAAGTCTCTGTCAATCCAAAAATACCCCGTGGACATCGCTGGGAACCGGAGAGTTGTTGCAATGAAGCACCTGACAAAGCAATAGCCCAGCTTACTTGGTCGCGATATCCTCCCTTGAGATGTTCCAGGTGGGCATGATATTGAGTATAGTTGGAGGTTCCGCTCTAGTCTCTTTGGCTTCATTCGCCGCATAAGTACCTTTTCCATAGGCACAGTGACGTCACTGGGGCCCACCCGTTTTAAGAACAGGCCAAAGTGCCATCAGGGGTACGAAATGGACTAGAGGTGCAGAGAAAGGTAATGTAATAATTTTCCTCTAGAAAGGAGAGGGCTGCGTTTGCAAGCGGCAGAGAATCGACGAAATCGGCTAGAAAAACCCTCTGCCGTTGGGGAAAATTCTGCGACATAAAAGTTTCCCTTGGTCCTAGAATCCTCCTCTTCCCAACTTTCCCATCGTATCTACCTTCCTCCCGAATCTTCCCAACTTCCTCTCAAATTTCCGGAGTTTTTCCCCACATGAAATTGAAATTGAAAACGGGGAAAGTGCGGGGAGGTATGTAGCACACTTGAAACATGGAACGCCGAGAAGGGCTGACCACCGGCGAACACGAACCCCTTCCCTCCAGCAACCGGAGTGCCCTTTCTGGGTATCCCATCTGTGCACGTGCAGTGTTGGAAAATACGCGTCGCATAGTAGATAGTTTCGATCTGTCCTTCTGGGAGGATCGGCGCAACCGGCATTTGAAAAAAATGCACGCCAAAAAATGGATTGGTATCGATTGTCGCTCGGTTTTGAGAGAGATAGAGACCAAGAGCGTCCCAGACAGTGTGCTTAGGAATCAAAATGGACAAACAAAGGGCACGCGAACTTTAAAGGACTTTTCAAGGGCCAAGGTAGTTAGGGAAGGGACACACTGGGCCACCCCTCTGTAGAGCTTCTCGAAAGAAGCCAAAGGCATAGAGTGCCAAAACGACCAGAGTTGGGTTAAGGCTAGTCTCGCACACAAGACATGGGCTCCATTAAGCCCAGGTTTTGGTCAAAGGAAGGGGTACGTAAGCGCTGGCGAATGGTCCCTTCCCCTCCCCTCCCTACTTACATTTAGACACCCTTTTTGCGATCACAACTGCAGACGGTTCCTGTTTCACGCCATACAGCCTGGGACTCTTCCACCCCGACAAAACCTTGGTGACCGACGTCAATCAACCCCTCCCCCCCTCCACCCTAGCCCACCCAATCTATTCTCTGGCAGGCATTCTTCCGGAATGCCGATTCCTTCACTTAAAGTATGGAAGCAGCCTTGAACGCAGTCTGAAAGCAGCCTTGCGGGAAATGAGTAGCAGCGCCACTGAGTTGAAAGCACAGCAGTGCTAAGACGCCCCATGAGTTTTTGGGTAACCTAATATACAACACGCTGAGAAAGTTATTTGTGGATGTCAGGAGGAAGTTATGAACGGCCACTGAATGCATGCAAATAGGCGTTTACATATATGTAAATGAGTGAGCCAATCAGTGAAGCATTCATGGGGCGGGTAGCATATAAACGAATCTTTCCCATATAAAGAGTGACATTCCTAAAACTGGTAAGCTCATTAACGTCAATTAAGCCGTCAACGATATTTGATCTTTACACGTCACATAAAGAAACCATAGAACACACAATCCAATGGGTCCCCTTGAAATGAGCCATGTCTTCGGCAGTAGTTCGAAATTGCGGGTGGACGTGGATAATGTTAGAGTAATGCACTTCTCGCGCAGTTTGCCGAAGGGGGAGGGGCATTTTGCACTCTTGCTCCACTAGTTCTGGTTTACTCTGGTGAAACCTGTGAAATGTTGTGAAGCTGGAGCAAGCTCGCCAACAGCTCGTCAGCACGTCATCATGGTAAAACCTGTCAACTCGAGAAACGGCTGTCTAGATGGGTCGACACGTCGATGGGAAGTCGTTAAAGTGCAAAATGCCCCCCCCCGTCGCCAAACGCGCCTGTACTCCGTATCCGTGGCGAGGAAGGATTTGAACAGGCATAGAATGCTGGTGGGACATTTCACTTCGAGACAGGTGCCATCTTATTCTGTGTTGCACAAAGGCATAATTACAAGTAGGCAGCCACGCCAACCGCATCCCACATGATTCGAATGTGTGTACCCCACAACTTGGAGATGGAGGTAAGTCCACAACTATTTCTCGGGCACGCTGTTCTTATCTACTGACACTGACATACAGCCTATGACGACTCCCCCTTCGGAACAGGATCATTGATTCAGCTCATTCACTTAACTAGGGGAGGGGGCTACGGGGGGGGGCTAAAGCTTTAGCCCTTAGGCGGTTAAAGCTTTACCAATTTATTGGGATCTGTGGAATACTTTTCGGGATCCGAAGCCAAATACCGAAAATTATTACAAGATAGTTACGCGACTAGGTACTTGATTGGCTGAGGACACCTGTCATCCCCAAATGACATGTCGGATCAGTTGGGCGGTTTGAAAAGACATGGAATGGGCGCGCTCGCGGTGCTCGCTTCTACTGGCTGTTTTCCTCCTGGCCCTTCACTTTTGGTAGAAAATGCAGCTGGGGTGGGAGGGAGGCGGGGGCTAAATCACGCGTCCCGACACTCTACGACTGATTGCTACAATATGAGCTATATGTGATCCCGAAGGGCTTAGAACTGCTTGAACATTTTTTGATGAATCCGGCGCGAAAAGCTAGAGCTCTGACACCCGAAGGACCCACGCTGGCAGAGGAGTGAGGACGACAAGGAGCCTAGGTGAACGGAGTTTCCCAAAGGATTGGGATTGCAGAGTGGGTAAGTCATTTACCGTGCATAAAAAGAAGTCATACTCGAGGTCTCATTGGCTGTGGGACTCTGCTTAGGTAGACAGGTAGCGCAGACGAGAGCATAAAAGCATCGAGAAGCGATTAAAGCTGTCTGAAGACTGTTCTTGAACTAAATTGTAGAGTAGTATGAGCCGTCTGGCCTGAATCTAGTGGAAGGTGCTCCCTAGCACTTTTCGCTAGACGGCACTTATAGTGAAACCTGTAATTATATAGGCCTCATTATCTGTTTTTTTTTTGCGAAACAGAAAATGTTTCTTCTGCCCTTGTCGCTCCCGCCACTTTCATTATTACAACTAGCGATTCTGAAGTCGAAAATCTAACAACTGTTTTGAGAAGGATTCCAAACGAAAGAACTTCAACTCGAGCGCCTAACTTCATAGTTCTCAAGCTTTTGAGCTCAGAGCATTGAAGGTTGCAAAGGTAGGGTTCCTTTTGACGTGATATATATATAAATATGAATAATAAATAAATATATATATATATTTATATATTTCATTTCAAATGACGGTGGCCCAGGTTTTTTGAGATATTGTCATTTTGGAGCAGTCGTAATCATGTCTACATCTAACACAGAACAAGATAGCAGTTGTTTCAAATTGAAGTATCCCACGAGAAACCCGTCCTATGCCATGCTCAAAAGCCACGCCTACTCCGTCTCAGGGATAAGGAGTGTACTTGCTGATAGGCCTTTGGATGGCAATTGCGAGTCCTCCCCATTCCTGCAGCGGAACTCTTCGAACGAGCAAGATTGTTGAGAGGGAGCGTACTCACTAACAAGTAGTTTTAGACGTAAAGCTGCTTCAATGGGACACCGAGATCAACACTTACTAGCTCAGCCTCAAGCCCCATACCTCATTCGATTGTGATTCGATGCTATTCGTCTAACAGTCACTAGTCGGGGTGTGCCAGAAGCAGGTAAGTCTTGTCGTGGTGCCAGCTAGTATTCCATCAATCGTTGCGGCTTCGGGCGTTCAAAGAGTGGCGGGAAAGTAGCCGGAACTCACGAGCTGCTGAGGCCTTGTCTGACTTCAGTGGTAGCGGCTGTACATTCAAAGCAGCCAGATTCTTACTGAGTGTGTGGGAATGAACCTATCGTCTTTCTCTTGGAAGCAAAAAGCTCATGCTAAAGTGAGGGCTACTTCTTCAGGCCAAAGCGACTCCAAAGTACCACACACGGGTTAGCGCAGGAATGGGAGAAAAGGCTGCGTCATACGATCCCCCTCCCCCTCCACCGGTGCGGCCACTCCACTCCCCATGCTACCATTGTATCTTCTTACAACTTCTCGAAATTCCCCGAATTCCCACCAGTTTTCCTTATTTTCGGCTTAATTATTAAACCTCCCCCTCCCAAAAAAAGTACCATCCACCGAGGGGTGGCTCGTCTCCAATCAACTACTGATTTCAAATACGCAAATACTACTTGCATAGGACTATTACAGGCACTGCCAGAGGGGCGAGTACATCAACCAAATACGACACCCCTTTCCCCAAAGCCCAAGTACGACCAAGTGGTGAGATTGTCCCAAGAGTGCTGTATCCTGGTCACACAGTCTACGATGAAGAGGATAACAACGAAAGGCTCACACATTCCAGGAAGTACTTTTTACAAGGTTGTTCAGAGGATATCCGCTTGCAACCAGAATCCCAGGAAAACCCTGGAAATTTAGCTCCTCAGATCGTAA